ACTCAACATTGGAGTCATGTGTTTAGGAGGACAAAGCCTTAGACTTACCACCCTTAGACTTTGTCCCTTTGGACTGCCATCTGAGAGAAAATCAACTTATCTTAAGTTGATATCACTTGGGGGCTCTTTGTTACATCATCTCAGACTGTTCTCTAACTAATACACATGCCTTCTCATAACCTGGCAGTGTAATGCAACAACTAAAGGCACACACTTTGGAGTGTAAATTGCCTGGGTTCAAATCCTAGCCCGGCTCTATGATTTGACCTCTTAGTTATATGACTCTGGGCAAGTTACTCAACCTCTCTGTGCTTCAGTTTCCCCATCTTTAAAATGGAGAATAATGAGATTGATAACCTTACAAGGCTATTGGGAAAAATGAACTAATCTATGTAAAGATACATGTCATCACCCATCTGTCAGTTTGTCATACTGTGGTGGTTTGTGTGTTATTGTGATGCTGAAAGCGATGCCACCAGTATCTCAAATACCAGCAGAGTCACCCATGGTGGACAGGTTTCAGTGGAGCTTTCAGGCTAAGACAGACTAGAAGGAAAGGCCTAGTGAACTGCTCTTGAAAATTAGCCAATGGAAACCTTATGGGTCACGAGAAACACTGTCCAATGTAGTGCTGGGAGCTGAGGCTCCCAGGTTGGACGGCACCCAGAATACAGTGGCTGAAATGATAGATTTGAGCATGCCAGCGATCATGAAGATGGGGATGACTGGGCAATGTTCTGTTTCATTGCACATGCTGTCACTATGAGTGGAGTAATCAACTAATCACAACAACAATAAAGATGGCAGAACCACCTGGCACATAGTAAGCGGTGTAATATTTTGCATTATTATTGCTCCCCCCTCAGTGGGCTAGCCAACTAGGCCCACCCACACATACCACATTCTCACCACACAGAACTTGCTGCTCATCCCCTCAAAGGTGCTATACCCTTCATGACTCTCTGCCTCTGCATAGCCTCTTTCCTCTTCAAGAGAGCTCTAACCTCACTGCTTAAGAACAAAATGCCTTCTTTTTCCCAACCCAGCCCAAAAGTTGCCTTCTCAGCTAAGTAGTATATTGTAGACATTAAGAACCTGGGCCTTAATGGACTTGTGGGCTCGGGACCATTGTCACAGGGGACATCAAGCTCAACTGGCATAACGTATCGCACAAAAATGCTGTTCAACTCCTACTTTGGTGAGTAGTGACTGGGTCTAGATGGCAAGTGGCCATCTAGATGCAATGATGGGTCTCTCCTCGTCCAGAGCAAAGAAGAATGAAGAAAACCAGATGCATGGAAACAGTCAGTCCAAGGGAAAGGCAGACCATGCGAT